CCTCTGTGTCAAAATTGAACAGTCCTCTCTCAACCGGGGTGGGGTGGGGTACGACATCATCTATCTCCAGTCTACAACTCAGTCCTTTCAACAATTCCAAGAAGGCTCCACACCCATTTGCACCACTCAGATGACCCTGAGGACACAGATAAACCCCGTAGTAGTAGTAGTAGTAGTAGTAGTAGTAGTAGTAGTAGTAGTAGTAGTAGTAGTAGTAATAATAATAATAATAATAATAATAATAATAATAATAATGGAAGGGACCTTGGAGGTCATCTAGTCCAACCCTCTGCTCAGGCAGGAAACCCTATACCATTTCAGACAAATGGCTGTCCAGTCTCTTCTTAAAGACTTCCAGTGTTGGAGCATTCACCGCTTCTGGAGGCAGGTTGTTCCACTGGTTAATTGTTCTAACTGTCAGCAAGTTTCTCCTGAGTTCTAGGTTGCTTCTCTCTTTGGTTAGTTTCCACCCGTTGCTTCTTGTCCTGCCTTCAGGCGCTTTGGAGAACAGCTTGACTCCCTCTTCTTTGTGGCAGCCCCTGAGATACTGGAATACAGCTATCATGTCCCCCCTTGTCCTTCTCTTCGTTAAACTAGACACACCCAATATCAGCAGCCGTTCCTTATATGCTTTAGCCTTCAGTCCCCTAATCATCTTTGTTGCTCTTCTCTGTACTCTTCCAAAGAGAGAAGCAACCTAGAACTAAGGAGAAACTTCCTGACAGTGAGAACAATTAACCAGTGGAACAACCTGCCTCCAGAAGCGGTGAATGCGCCAACACTGGAAGTTTTTAAGAAGAGACTGGACAGCCATTTGTCCGAAATGGTATAGGGTTTCCTGCCTGAGCAGGAGGTTGGACTAGATGACCTCCAAGGTCCCTTCCAACTTTATCATTATTATTATTATTATAACATCTTTTTTACATCGTGGTGACCAAAACTGGATGCAGTATTCCAAGTGTGGTTTACCAAGGCATTGTAAAGTGATATTAACACTTCACGTGATCTTGATTCTATCCCTCTGTTAATGCAGCCTAGCACTGTGTTGGCCTGAACAACTCTCTAAAATAATGCAAATGACCAGCTGTCTGCAAGGAGTATAAATCCTTCCCTTCCCCACCATCCAGTCAGAGCTGAAGAAGCTTCTTGGGAGGAGAAGCGAAACATCTTTAAAGCAAAAGAAGAAAGTCCAGTTGCCTCCTGTAAAAACCACCCCAGTTGGGGTGATTGGGGTCTTGGGAAATCAAAAAAGGAACTTACCCAAACTTAAATGTCTCGGTGTGGACAATCCAGCTCTATACAGTAGTCTGCACAAGAAATAAGTTGCCATCCACACTTATCTGAAAGAGTAAGAACGAGAGTTAAGATTTCTGTTGATCGCGAAACAAAGAAACTTTAATTAAAGTCTGGCTGATCTTCAGCTGTCCGTTCCCCCAAGGAAGGCCACCAGTCTGAGGGCCTTCAGAAGCAGCCACCCAGCCCTCAAGACTAATAGCCACCGATCCCCAGGACTTCCAAAAAAATGATCCGACCCTTGTTTTGAAGCCACAAAGCTGGTAGCCAGAACGAACCAAAGGAGTCAAACATGGTCCTTTTATGACTTGTGGCATGCTGGCTGAGGAATTCTGGGAGTTGAAGTCCACAAGTTATAAAAGAGCCCAGGGTCCCCACCCTTGCCCTGTTATATGTGACCAGGCCGCCTTTACAGTTGTTTGTGCGTCCTGCAGTCACGTGACTTATGTTTTACAACACATTTACTTTCATTTTTTTGGCAAAACCATACCCATAGTGAACCATTGGTTCCCTTAATGACCGCGGCATTCATTTAACGACCATCGCAAAACAGGTCGTAACCATTTCACAATTGTCACGACTTATGAGAACGACGGGCAGGCTCCATTACAGTCATAAGTCAAGGTCTAACTCTACCATGACTATGCACCGTCGTTAAAGGAAGCAGTCGCCAAACAAGGACCACCTCTAATAAGGGCTGCTTCAGGGTTGAACGGCTGGGGCCATTGGTGATTTCCAAGCTTGGCTGTGAACTCTGAGCTGATCCTGGTGTTTTGCTGGAGGATTTACTCCCCCCTCCAAACACACACACACACAAACACACACACACACACACACACACCGTTTGCTTCTTACCACAGCAGTGCTTATAGCTTCCATAGAAAGTTCAGTAAATTCTGTAGGTTCAGCCGTTTCAACCAGCAGTTCTGAACATTCAGGGCAGCAGGGTGGATGGGTGGGAAGAGAAGAAATGGATTAGTTAAAAGATGAAAAGCCCCAAAGCAATAATTAAATACTTGGGAGCAGTGCTTCTCAGTTAAAATCAAGTTATTTTTTTCAGCATTTTAAACTCCCGTGGATAGTCAGTCGCTGCTATTTGTAGAGGATGGGGTAGAATTTCCCTTCCCTCTCTCCACAGGGGGGAAAATACTTTGGGCAGCTTATACAGGTGGAAAAAATAATTAGGATTGAAGAGAGGTTCAGATCTCACCCAGTCGCATCCGCACTGCTTTGTAGGTGCCTGGTGGTAAGTTTAACTTCAGCTATCTGCAGTCTAGTGACGAGCCATATTTCTATGGCCGGACTTTCATCCGCTGGTTTGGAGGGCTGTCCCGGATCGAATGGAAGGGCTGCCGCCCTCCCGCAATCAATCGGGGATCCCGTCCTTGGTTGTCGCCGCTACAGGGCGACATTCGACTCTTTCCAGGGTCCCCCAGCTATGGGAAAATCGGACGTGGAAGATGGAGCTCGCCTTCCAAACGTCCGCGGTGGCTGCGGCAGCAAACCGGAAGTCGGGAGCAGTGCTTCTCAAACTTGGCTGTTTTAAGACACGTGGACTTCAACTCCCAGAATTCAATTCTGTGAGTTTATGCTCCCATGGCCAAATCTGGGAAACACTGACTTAGAGCCTTCAGCTGTTCGTAACTAAGGTTTGCAAGCTGTTGTGCTCTGCTGTTCATGAGGACACAAGGAACATCTTCAGACCCAGAAATAGAGCAGGCTACTTTCCACGGAAGGCAACCTGCACGGCACAGATTTGAACGGACTCTTCTTCCTGGCATGGAAGGTAGAGTCTTCCACACACACAATGGCTGTGTCTCTCCTGCTGGGATGGGAATTCAAGGGGTTCCAGTCCCAACATATCTGAAAGGTGCCAGATTGGGGAAGGAAAAGAAGCTTTACGGCATCAGCCGGGCAAGGTAACAACTATCAAGGACTTAATAGCCGGCCCAATTGACACCCCAATTGACAACTAAAAGCCCCACAACCAGGCACCACATAAATACAATGCACAGAATAGCCCAGTGCACACATTCAGGAGAGAGAGAGAGATGTTCCCTGAGGACGGGATCCAGCATGAGTCCAAAAGCTTGGAAGACTAAACCTCTGGTCCTGGTGACCGACTCACATTGGATCTTGCAACATTATTCTGGGACAAATGCATTTGCCTTCATTCATGAGAGGCTTTATTTGTTGTTGTTAGTTGCGGAGTCGTGTCGACCCATCGCGACCCCCCTGGACAACGTTCCTCCAGGCCTTCCTGTCCTCTGCCATCTTCTGGAGTCCATTTAAGCTCAGGCCTACTGCTTCAGGGACTCCATCCAGCCACCTCATTCTCTGTCGTCCCCTTCTTCTATTGCCCTCAATCTTTCCCAGCATTAGGCTCTTCTCCAGTGAGTCCTTCCTTCTCATTAGGTGGCCAAAGTACTTGAGTTTCAACTTCAGGATCTGGCCTTCTCAAGAGCAGTCAGGGTGGATCTCTTCTAGGACTGACCGGTTTGATCGCCTTGCAGTCCAGGGGGCTCGCAGGAGTCTTCTCCAGCACCATAGTTCAAAGGCCTCCATTCTCTGGCGCTCAGCCTTTGTTATGGATCAACTTTCACAGCCACACATTGCAACTGGGAAAACCATGGCCTTGACTATACGTACTTTTGTTGGCAGGGTGATGTCTCTGCTTTTTAGTGATAGGCTTTATATTAACACATTAAAGGACACCGCCCCACCACCCTCGTGTCTTAAAGGCTATCGCTTCGCAGATGGCGATGCTTTTGGACTACTAGATTGCCCAGCCCTATAGTGACAGAAGGGGAGGGCTGGGGGAATGAGTAAGAGGAGAATGTTTTGAACAAGACGTGGATCTCGACCATCTCCTTGGTTTACCGAGGGGCTGAGAGAGATGAAACGTCGGAAAAGACGCCTGGAGAGCAGTTGGAGGGCCAGCCGAACCGAATCCACTCGAACACAGGTAAAGATACATCTTAGATCTTACCTAGTGGCGCTGAGGGAGGCTAGGACTAACTACTATGCCTCACTCATCGCGTCATCAGA